CACAAAATAAAATAAAGCCAGCTATAAGTACATAACAAAATAACACCACCTATGAACATAAAATAAATTTGAAAATTTCACAACTTAATCAGCAACTAATTACAATGAAACAAATAAAAGGAAAACTATTTTGTCAACGTGAGTCCAAAGTACCATTACAATGAATTGACCGATCAGCAACGGATGGTCTAAAAGATGCATTATATACTAATACAACGAGAAATAATCGTCTTCTCTGATGATGCCAACTACTACATCTCCATGACTCCATCATTGCGTATGCAAATTTGAGAGACCAAAATGAACATGAATAAACCAAGTAAACTGTCGACATGTTATCTACGACAAAAGTAAATTATCAATGACAAACAAAATCTCGGCGCTTGCGCGGAGCGCAGCCACCACACTACAAGAAAACACCGCGATACTGACATAAAAAATTGTCGGAATGTCATCGTAATAAGGGAATTCCGAGGAAATACCGACGAAAAAGGTTGTCAGAAATTTTTCGTCGGAATTTCAAATTTTCTCGGAATTTTCTCGACACATTCCGAGGAACTCCCAAGAACACAATTTCCGAGGACATTCCGAAAAACTGTATTGTAGGAAAATATCGTCGGAAAGTCCTAGGATATTTCCGATGGACGGATCCTCGGAATGATCGAAATATTTCGACGATCATTTCTATCAGAAATTTCCGAGGAAACCTGTCGTCAGGATATTCTGAGGACCAGTTCTGTCGGAAATTTCCAAGGAAATGTAGTTCCTCGGAAATTTCCGAGGAATACATTCCTCGGAAATTTCCGACGACAGATTTTCTCGGACGATTCCGAGGGATTCACTTCCTCGGAATTTTCGTAAAATTAATTTTTTTTACAAAAATTATTAATTAATTATTTATAATTAAAATTCGAAAATATAAAATAAAAAATTGAAACTGAAAATATATTAGATAAATTCAGATTTGTTCAAATAAAACATTCAGAGTTTAAACAAAAAAGAACTATGGGAATTGCTCGTTCGGGTACATCCGACTCATCATCTCCATCATGCGCTCGTTCTGCCTCCTAGATTCCTCCCATCCCTTCTCTTGTTCCTCCATCTTCGCCTCCAACGCAGCTATGCGGTCATCCTTGTCCTGAAGCTGCTCCATAACCATTGGATCGATAAGCGGTTGTGATGTAGGAGGAACTGATTTGGATCGACGACCCAAACCGACCAAACGTCCCTTCTTCTTTGGAACCGGACTGAAAGAGAAAATAAACAGATTTTAGTAACAGAAAATCTTATAAAATAAAAATAAAGATATAAATGAATTGAATTTTGTATAAAAACATTCTTACCGATTCAACAATCTCGTTGATTCGTTCTCGGGACAGGGAGACCGAAGCTGTCGAACTGGAGTCGAGCTCAGTTTGAAGCTGGGATAGACGGAGCTATTCGTCGTCCTTGAGAGTGGTGATCATGTTAACCACCTCCTTGATAAAACCATCATCAATCTCCCTGATATGCTTGTTGGTATACGCCCGCTTCAACTGTTTGAAAGCATCAACCGGCTCGCCATCATTTTCTACCGCCTAGAAAAAATAGAAGTTAAAAAAAATTAGAAATCAGAATAAATGCATAAAAATAAAATAAAAATACTTAAATAATTGAAAAAAAGAGATTCAAGTTACCATTTTATCTCCGAGAGTGGCAATACTCATGGCACCCAAGTTGTGCTTGGCAACACCCTTCATGCCACGTTCGCTTTTGCGGTTGGTGGAGTTGGTGGTGGAGATTTCTTTCGTATCGTCTTTCTGCCAATGCTCACACAACTCCTTCCAGACCGTGTCGTTTATCGACTTCAGGACCTTTTAATAAATAAAAAAGTATGAAATAGTTAAATAAATCCAAAAATAGATTAATAAATTAAAAAATAATCTAATAAATTTTAAAATAGATTAATAAACCGATACCTTGTTGATGCGCCACTTCTGCTTCCACTCATAGATCTGCTTCCCATAGTTTTCCATAACTTTATGGATGATGATGGCGTTGCGGATAAAGGGCGTATGATCGGGATGCCAGGTGAACTCTTGCTGAAAAAAACACAATTAGTAAAAAATTAATGTTAAAGATGAAAAATATAACTAAAAAAGTAGAATACTTACCGCAAACTGACGAAACCACATCTCCTGCTCGGGGAGAGGGAAGTGAGTGAAAGTCGGATATCCCTTCTTGAGGTTCGAGTACATCATCCGGTTGATCCATCCACTGATCCCGTTCCCGGATCGGTCGAACCTATCAAAAATGATCAAATTATTAATAATGAATCCACACTTAAAGAAAAAAAAAGATTCTTAATTACCATGTTTGACCTCGTCCCGTAGGATACTCGGTGAGATAAGGAAGATGCTCACGACTGGGCTGTTGAACCAACTGCTCAATAGTCATCGCTCCCGGAACGAATGGAGGATCGGGAGGGGGTGCAGCAGCGTGAGCCGAAACCAGACCAGGAGAAGAATCCTGAGAACCCCGAGAGCGGCTCCCCGAGGCACCATAACCTCGTGGTACGGATCGACGAAATCGAGGCTGATCACCAGTAGACCTATAAATAAATAAATAAATTAAAAATAGTTTTAATGATATTAAAATTCAAAAATAGGTTTTAATCACAAAAAAGATTTTAGAAAACATGTAAAAATTTTAAAAAAGTTTGTAATAAAAAAATAGTTTGTAATAAAAAAAATAGTTTGTAATAAAAAAAATTTTCAAACATATAAAAATAGTTCTTCTATCCTAACCGCATGTTGAGGTTCGCTAGTACTACCATAATCATAATCAGTTTCTCCATGATGATACCAAACTTTGTAACTTCGTGTAAACCCTCTCAAATATAGATGAGTCCAAACATCTAACTCCTTTATAACCTTTTTATTTTTACAAGTAGAGCAAGGACATCTTAACATACCCGTTTTTGCTTCCGGTTGTCGTTGAACTAACGCCATGAATTCGCCTAAACCTCTTTGGTACTCTTCCATAAGCAATCTCGTGTTAGGATCCAAATGAGGTCGATCGATCCAAGAACGATAATAATTAGAAGAAGACATGATTTTTTTCAATCAAATTCATGTGTAAATATAGTATGTAAGAGGATGATGATATGGAGTGAATGAAGAGGATGAGGGTGCTTGTATTTATAGATAAAATTTCTTACAACTCTGAGGATATTCTGAGGAAATTCCGACGAAAACATCTACTTCCTCGGAATTTCGTCGGAATTATTAAAATCCTCAACGGCTCTCTAACGACTATAATATAACCTCGGATTTGCGTCGGTTTTTTCCGACGAATACGGTCTTCCTCGGAACTTCATCAGTATATTCCGAGGAAATTCCGAGGAAACCCAAACTTTTGGTCTTCTCGGTATTGCCTCGAAACGTCTTCGGAACATCCTCGATTTTTTCCGACGAATTCGCTTTCTTCGGAATTCCGTCGGTAAATTTCGAGGAAATTCCGAGGAAACCCAAAATTTGAGTTTCCTCGGAATTTCCTCGAATTTTATCGATGATTTCAGTTTCCGTCGGAATGTCCGTCAGAATTGCCGTGTTTGTTTTGTAGTGCCATTATATCTAAACTATTGAATAATCTTCATTGTGTTTAGTAATGTACAACGAACGTTTTTATTTGTGTTATTGGCTATAAAAATTTTTATAGCCATTATGAAAGTCTTTAAGTTGCTTTTGTAAGAAAGTGTGATAAGAAACTATTGGAAGACAAATTTATACAGAGTTTATTGCCTTTAAGATTGAAAGTTGAGAGATCTATTAAATTTGTAAAGAGTTGTAAAATTCCTGCATATTTATAATAAAGTACTAAATGAATATATGTTTAGAATTAAGTCTTAATAACACTATCTTTTTGTCGAATATTTTAAAGTAATTACGCAATCATCATACTTATAAAACTATATTTTAGTCCTAGTAACAATAAAATCTAAAAAAGTTAATTAATCTTCCTAAATTAAATTTTTTTTCTCACCCCCCCCCCCCCCTTAGTTTTGTATTTGAGTCAGTTCTATAAATCATTTAGCTTAATTATTAGAAAATCTCAGTTCACAAAAACAATTCGCTTAGAAGAAAATGAAGAGTGGAGTCAAAGAGGAGGTTCTCTCGGGCACCGTCTCGCTTTTAACTTATAACTAGATTTTGAACCCGCACATCCGTGCGGGTATTTTTTCATTTTATTAAAATATAACAATACCTTTCAAATATATATGATTTACATTCTATTGTTATATATTCTATAATTGTATAATCTAATAATTTTAATTATTTTTATTTAATAAATTGTTGTAAGTTTAAAAATAAAAAAATATTCATATATAATTTTTTATATAATGTATTTGTTGTGAGTTACAAAAATTTATGTTAACATTTTTTTTACAAAAATATTATATGATTTAAAAACATTAATATGTTTTAAAAGTGAGTGATATTTATTTATTTATTTGAATAAAAGAATTTTTTTTAATAAAATATTTTCCTTTACCAATTTAATATATTTTATATTCATTTCACATAGCATTTTATTTTAATATAATATGGAATATAGGTATATTATAAATATAACAATATTTATTTTTAATTAACATTAATATAGATATTTATATATATATTAATCACGAAATTAAATAATGCATATTTTATAAAATTATTTAAACTTCTTAGTAAGATCTTGTTAGATATTTTCTCAACAAATTTATTTCTAATATCTTACTAATTACTAAATTATTTTTCCAATTATATACATTTAATTGAGTAATATAAATAATTAAATATGTCATATTAATGAGATGGTTCAACATGACTTTTTTGTAGTAGATATAAATAGTACTTCTCTTTTAATAGAGAAGATAAAGCCTTGGTTTGGTCTTTCTCTATTTCACGCACGTACGAACGAACAGACAAACAAAACCCAAGCGAACTCGATAAAGTAAAAAGGAAAAACAACAATTCCTTTAGGGCACAAAGAGAGACGCACATCTTCAACAACAACAAAAAAAAAAAAAGTAAGCAAGCAAAATTTGGCGGCTAAATCAATCGCTTCTACTGGTTCGTACTCAACTCTAGTCTCCTTCAATCTTCGTTTATCATTCTGGGTTTCATCCCTCTCTTCTCAATTTTGATTGATTTGATGCTTTAAACTCTTGGATCCTCCCAATTTCTTTTCCTTTAAGTTTCTCAGTTTGATTCTTGACGAATTAGCTATGCATCTGTAATTTGATTTTGAAATCAGGTGTACAGTTTGAGAATTCGGGTTTCTAGGTCGTTGGATGAAGCTGGATTTCAAAATCTGGGTTTAGTTGAAAAAGATGGGGTCAGAATCAGATCAATGTTCTTCCAGATTGAACACTCTCGGGATCAAATCTCTAATTTACCAGAAACTCGGGCATTCAAGAGCAAACACTTACTTCGACCACCTCGGACAATTCCTCACCTCGAGGATAAGCAAGTCCGAGTACGATAAGCTTTGCATCAAGACCATCGGTAGACAACATGTCCCTCTTCACAATCGTCTCCTACGTTCCATTCTCAAGAATGCAACTATCGCGAAATCTCCTCCACCTAGATACCTCAAGAGATCTGCACTTCCTCCATCCCCACGAAAATGCAGGTCCAGGAACTTTAGAGACCGGCCGAGTCCTCTTGGTCCACTTGGGAAGCCCCAAAGCATCACTACAACGAATGATGAGTCAATGTCGAAGCTTCTGAAACTTCCTATGGAAGTTGCTTTTGTTGAAGAAGGAGAAGAGGTTGAACAAAGCATACAGAGTAGAAGCCCCTTAACCATGCCACTCGGTGTTTCGTTAACAGGAGCTAGAATGTCTATTTGCAGAAACGGTGAGACTTGTCAGAACAGTGGCGAGTTACCTGATACAATGACGTTGAAGGGTGTGTTAGAGAGGAGACTTGAGAAGGAAGGGATAAACTTATCGATGGACTCTGCTAAAGTTTTGAATAGTGGGTTGGATGCGTTTATTACAAGGCTGATAAAGCCTTGTTTGAGTTTGGTCCAACGGCAGCAAGTGTCGATGATGGATCTTCGTGCTGCTATGGAGTTGAATCCACGTGTTCTTGGAGAGGATTGGCCTGTACATCTAGAGAAAATCTGTTCTCGTGTGTCGTCGGAGTAGTAAAGTTGTCAAGACACCGTTATATAGCGATTTTGGACATCTGAAACTGTTAATCATATTTGATTGATCTATTCTTTTCCTGAAATTTGGATAAATTGCCATTAGAATGTTCTTGAGGAAGCTTTGAAGGGGAAACAAAGAGGCTTCAGGTTGTACAAGTTGTGATAGTTAAGTATAATATATATATAGTTTAAACACCATTTGTGTGGACTTTAACTCAATATGCCCGTGTGACTCAAGAAAATTTCTCAATTCTCCCACCAATAAAATATAATTTTTTTTAATTTCTTTTAAATACAAAATCTGGTAAATACATCTACAACCCTTACAAAATTAGATAATTACATGACCCGACCCACCCAAACACATACGGATATAACCCAATCCTTAACCTAAATGCTATGTTTCGAAGGACTCATCCCTCATCTCTTACTCGTGTCCTTCTCTCCCTTCTTTTTTTCTCCAGAAACGGTGACATAAACGTCTCATAAACCCTAGATCGAAAAAACCATCATTTCTTCTTCTTCCTCTATTCTAATCAAGATTCTTCCTTTCAAATCGACATCCTTCATCTTGTAAGTGATTTCTGGACCTTGATTTCTTTCTATTTTGTATTTATTAAGGGAGATTGCGGTTTGGAATTGGGGAAAACATGTTGAAATCGTATATTTGGTATTAAATCCGTAGATTTGGTATTAAATCCGTATGAATTGGAACGAAAACTAAAAATTCATGATTGTTGTGGGTTCTTTCTTACTAGATCCAATTGGTTTTCCTGATTTATTGTTTGTGATATGAAACTGAAATCTCTTTGAATGTTAGGATAAATTTAACGGAAATGGAGTTGGTGATTTATTGAGTGAATGAATGGTTTGAGAATTATTGAGTAATAATTCTGGGTTATGTCTAAATGTGTGTTGTTGTGTTGTTTTTGGAAGTTCAGAGGAAGGAGATAATGCCAGGTAACCGTGGAGGAAAAAAAGACTAAAAAGAATAATAAAAAAGCTACAACAGCTCGAAAACTTGTTGATCCTGTTGTTGAAGAATCATATGGGAATAATAGTGATGATGTGGTTGAAGTCCTCTCTGAGGTATAATATTTTTTTGGTTTTAGTTGAATAAAGAGTCACTGCTTGTGTGTGTATTGGTTTTATTTGAATTAAGTGTCACTATTGTGTATTAGTTTGACTTGAATCAAGTGTCACTGCTTGTTTATTAGTTTTCGTTGAATCAAGTTTGTGGGCTTTTGACTAGATTAGTTGAATCGAAATTGTTGAATGGCATGATAAAAAGTTATAACCATGTTTAAAAGAATAACTTTCCTATAAATTCGGATAAGTAATAATTTTTGTTGTGATTACTCATCTCATCTTATACAGGGAATGAAGGGCCAAAAAAGAAGGCGTCCATCTATTATAGGTGGTGTGTCCAGTAGAACTAGAGCTAGAAAGGCGCTCTCAGATGGGAATGAGCCGGTAGGAGAAGAGGCAGTCCAGCGAGATAATACTTCAGTGAGAGAAACCACTATAGATTCTCTCTCAGTTGATGCCGAAAGTGAAGACATGTCTGCTGTATCATCCAAGGTAATTTTTGCATTCATTTTAATCATTGTTAGAAAGTCATATTAGTCTTACTAGTTAGGAATGACTAATACATATATATACATTGATTGATGGAAAGGTAACCACCGCAGCCTCTTGAGTTTTACTTCAAGAGCACACAGTTCACGAAGACTTCCAAGATTCAAACTAAATGTTTGGTGAAGAGACAGTTGATGTGATTAAGAAGCTTAAGGAGGAGGTTAAATGGTTCAGAAGCCATCCCCAGTTTTGTCATTTCTTCCACATGCCCGATGAAGAATTCCTGAAGCTCCGAGCAATGTGGATGTTACTTATGAGCACCATTAATATTGAAGGAGATGATGCTGCATGGTTTGGGGTGAACGGTGTGCCCATCCACTATTCTATGAGGGAGCATGCCCTCATCTCTGGCTTAGACTGCCATGAGTATCCGAAGAAACATTTGAAGATCGGAAATAGAAAGTTTGTAGATTATTACTTTGGTGGACTCAAGAAAATCACCATAACAGATGTGGAGCAGAAGCTGTTGTCTATGAAGTCGGCATGTTCTGATAGGTTAAAGATGGCTGTCTTGTTCTTCCTTGGTCGGATTATTAGAGGAAAGACAAAGGATAGCAGACCAATTGACCCATTCATCTTAAGGATTGTGGGAGATCTGGATGTTTGCAGAACATTTCCTTGGGGTCGTCTAACATTTGAGGATGTGATAAAGGAGATTAAACATATGATGGAGCTTCTGAAGGGTGAAGTGAAGCAGGCAACCGGCTTCCCTGGATTCATAATTCCGTTACAGGTAAAGAATAAATTTAGTAAAATTTTAGTTGTTTTAAAACCAAAAATCTGATAGTGTGACAATTTATTTGTGTAGGTTTTGGCTTTTGAGTGTATTCCTAGGCTGGGGAAAAGATTTCGACTCCCTGCAGAGAACCCTTGTGGAGATTGTCCTAGGATGTGTAAGAGCCGGTTTACAAAGAGTAGCATGAAGGGTTATCCTTTGGAAGATATGTATCGTGCGCTTGGAAAAACAAAGATATATGTATATAATTTTTGTTAGAAATTAGCATAATAGAAAATTTAAACTGATGATCATTAATTGTTTCCAGACTATTAACAGTGTGCTGGCGCCAACTGTGGATGAGGAAACTATGCTGGCTCTTATCATTGATGAGGAGCCAGACTATCGTTGTGGGGTTAGCACAAGTGATACGTGGAACTACTGGCTAAACGTGAAGCAGAAGAAATTTTTTTGGCAAGAGCTATATGACTTCGATGTTGCTGCACGAAAGTTTACAAAAGAAAAAGACAAAGAAGAGGATATGTTTGAAGAAGGATCATCTTCTAAGTCTGGTATGGAATTGAGCTTGAAAGGTCTGGAAGAGAGGATTTTGGTTTCCATGGGAGAAGGATTGTCTGGAATTAAATTAATGATGGAGACAAAACTGGAAAAAATGGACCAGAGGATGAGTGATCTTGAGAAGAACCAACGAGTTTTAAGAAGAATGGCTAAGAAAATAAAAGAGAGGTTAACTTCTATTGAGAACAATAATTATGGTGAAAATATAGATTATGGTAGAGCTGAAGGGTATGAACAACATGATGCTGAAGTAGAGGAAGAGCAAGTTGATGGTGGGGAGAAAGGGACTGATGAGGAGGAAAATGATGAGCAAGTTGATGGGGAGAAAGGAACTGAAAGAAGAGAAGAAGAGAAGGAAAACGAGGCTGAGGAAGACAAGAGAAAGAGTGAAAATGATGAGGACGAAAATGATGAGCAAGAGGATGATGATGAAGATGATGAAATCAGGTCTGAAACTGAGCAAGAAGCTGCGAAAAGGAGAGAAGAGGCGGATGCATTGTATTGAGGACAGTAATGAGGCTAGTGATAAAGATGTGGAGAAGAAGAAAGAGACTCAGAAAGGTGAGGAGATTGCTACGGAAGCAGGGAAAAAAACTCCTATATCACCATATGGTAGGACTAAAGCAGCAGCTGCGAGGAGACAAGTTTTAATTACATCAGAGAAGTGGATAACACCACCAAAAATAAATGGTAAGGAGAAAGCTGTGGAGACTGCTATGGAAGCAGAGAAAATAACCATTGAATCAGAGAAAGCTGTGGAAACAGAATCTATTGAGACTGAAAAAAAGGTTGAGCAAGCTGAGAAGTCAGTTGAAGCTGATGAGGAACAAGATGTGGAGGAAGAGGAGGAAAAAGCTGAGGAAAGTCTTGCCGAGGAACATGCTGAAAAGAAGGTGGAGGAAAAGGAGGAAAAGAAGGAAAAAGCTGAGGAAATTTTTGCTGAAGAACATGCTGAAAAGATGGTGGAGGGAGAAGTAGAAAAACTAGAATAAATTGCTAAGGATTTGGTGGAAGAACCTGATAAAACAACCGAAGAAGAAGAAACAAAACCAGAGGAAAATGCAGAAAAATACACTGAAGAAGAAAAGCAAAGCTGGTTTATGTTTTTTTTACAGAGGAAACGAGGAGAGCAAAGAAGCAGCCACGCCTATGATACATGCCAAGCCCAAGGCTAAGAAGAGGGGAAGGCCAAGGAAGACTGATGCTATATTGAAGCCATGTACGCCGCTGCCGAAAAGAAAAGACGAACCATCACAGTGGGTGCAGTCTCCTTTCACCGAGGGAAAGACTGATGAGCTTGAAGGGCGAAAGAAGAAGCGTAAAACAAATGCCTAAGCTTGTTATCTGTTATTTATACTTTTAAGTATTTCGTATGCTTTTTGGATGTAATGTTTCTACTTCGGGATGTTACTTGTTAGAAACCTAAGTAAAGTAGTTGGTATGTGTTGGAAAAAGGTATGAATAACTCTGTTTACAAGTAAACTTATGTCCAAAAACGAGTTAAATGGAAAACTTGTTTTACTACTAGGTTTAGTAAGGCTAAAAAAACACTTGTTAAAAAAACTTTCATGTAAAATACACATGTTAAACGTGAGTTAAATAATAATTTAAAATACACATGTTAAACATGTACAACGTGCAGCCGTTATATGCATAAAAATAATATTTGGGTTACACATAGTAATTCTTAGTAATCTTCAAGGACTTAGAAATACTACCTTACACATAGTAATATTTTGGCAAATTCAAGTTTATCTAGTAAAACTATTAGAAAATGAGATTTGCTCTAGTAAACCAATGCTTTTACCCTATTATTATCCTTACATAAGACATTTTCAATAATAACTTGCCAGGAATACGTATTTTTTTTTAGATTTTCTTTACTATGGAATAACCATTCATACAATAACATTAATGTAAGTTAAGAGGTTTTTTTAAAAATCGAATAGGTTTTTCTTAAACAATTAAAATAATCATCAAAAGTAGTCTTAATATAAGTATTTATTAAGTAAATATACTAAGAATTGATAATAACCATGAAATATATTGATTCTAAATACTAAACATAAATACTCTCAATACTATATTTGCGTCCAAATAACACTAAGTAATACCAGTAATACTAGTATTTCATATAATACTTAGTAAAGCCAGTAATCTTAGTAGTCTGAAAAACGCTTAGTAACTCCAGTAAACCTAGTAGTCTGAACATAACATAATAATACTGGTAATCCTAACAACACAATGAAACAACTTTCAACAGTCAAACACCTGAACCTGAACAACTTCCACATTCAAAATACTCTGCCATACCTCCTCCTCTGGCTCTCTCTCTTCCACTCTTCCACTCCCTCTACCTATTTTACCTCCTCCACGAGATTCTCATGCTGATGAAAACCTTGTTTGTTGCGGTTTTCCTTTCTTGACTTCAAATTCTGGAGTAAGTACTTTCATTGCTCTATCTTGTATAACCCAATCAGACATATGAGGAACATGATATATTGTTCTGTGATAAGCCAAAGTCCATTGCTCCACCAAATAGTACTTAGACAAACTTTAACTCTAAGACAAACTACGAAAGGCTTGATCCTTTCAAGAGGGTACGTAGGCAGCCTTCACTAGGCGCAGCCCCAATCCTACCGCTTTTCATTCCAATGAGAGTGGGAAGACAACTTTCAATGGAACATTTCAACCATAAATTCCGCCTAAAATTTTCTAATCACTCGCTAGAAGCTCAAGGTTCTAACGAGCTGGAGGGCTAACTGTTGGGGTCAAAATCGGTCACAACGGAATCAATGGCTAAAAGTCCCGGAAAAAGCATACAATAAACTACAGACTTTATACGAAATAAGGAAAACTCGTATACAAGTATAAAATAATCAAAAAGACCTCATGTTGGGGACAAAAACGGTAATCTCGAAATCAACGTCTACAATTACTTCCCCTTATATTCTCCGAAAAGATCTCGGTTCGGGAAGACAAGAATTGACTGGAACCAAACAACCGACCAGCTCGCCAAGACGGCGAACTGGATGGATCAGCCCAACTCGCCGGCTTGGCGATCTAACCACGAAAAAACAGCTCGCCAAACCTGCGAGCTGGCCATGCTTGACTAGGTCGCACGCTGGGCGAGCTGAACCAAACCATCCAGGTCCCTCGACTCAATCGTATTCTGAACCCTGATCGGAACATCTCTCTTTTCGTCTCAATCCGTCTTACCGTTAAGAGTTTTACGATAAAAACTGCTAAAGACTTGTTTTCTCGTAAAACCTTGAGTAAATCATAAAAAGCCGCAACGGATATATGAAACACCGGAAATTGCCAGACTACACGACTGACTCGAGATATTTTATAAAAAACGACATCGTATCATGGAAAGACGATTAATCATCATAAAGCCTTAAAACTGAAAGTAAACCTAGGTCTTACCCTAAACCCAGCACACTGGTCTCTAACGTCTCAAGGCATGAAATGAGATCCTAAAGGCATCTCTATTAGTCGATATATAAACGCTCACAAGATTCTAAACATCCTAAAACGAGCAAACGAATAGGGCGATCTACAAAAAAGAGTTAGGCTATGAGATGACAACTCATACGAATACAAACTTGCTCTTAAAACGCAAAACAAAATTTAAAAGACGGCCGCAAAGCGGCACGGACTCGAAGCTACATACAGCCAGTCCAAAACTATAATGGCCACACTCGTCCAAGCAAACAGCCTACGAGGAAAGTCTCGAGTCTGATACAAAACATCATCGACATCGTCATATTCGATAATCTCTACGCAAAACTAGACTGTAAAGGTCTCATTGGAAAAAAGGTCGTAAGAACTTTAACTCTAAGACAAACTACGAAAGGCTTGATCCTTTCAAGAGGGTACGTAGGCAGCCTTCACTAGGCGCAGCCCCAATCCTACCGCTTTTCATTCCAATGAGAGTGGGAAGACCACTTT